AACGTTCTTTTCAATGCGAAACGCGAACCACGACGAAATTGCGCGTCTCCCTCCATGCACATAGTGAGTATTTCAAAATAAAGTACCAATCAGTCGTTAACCGTTGTATCGTGCGTTGCGCTTTGTAATCCAGCAGCTAAAGAGGTAGTAGTTCCAATTAACATTCCCATGGTCCCGGATTCGAGACCTGATAGTCATGCGGTGGGGCAAACGAGGTTGAAACGCGCCATGGAGTCCAGTATCCTCGGGCGTGCAACACCCAATATATACCTGTTTCACCAGCTACGTTCCCAGCGTTTGCAATCCATCAACACACCGAGTACTCTGTAATGACCTTCCAGTCAGTTATCTTACAGATCCTTTGTAGCAGTGCTACCAGATCAATGCGCAACTGTTCTTAAGGCAAAACCAGATCGGGAACATTTGACGCCGTACATCTGAACACATCACCGGCTGGCCGCCATCGCCACAACACGGAATTATTGATCGAGGAAGCAGTCGCTCATTTGATTGGCTGACATTTGATCTTACATTGCTTGACTTAATTTATTGGTTATCAGGTCTGGCCCCTCGGCCACATGTGAAGTAGGTTACAATCACCAAATTAGTGCACATCGTGACCAAGTGTTCCATTGCATTCATTAAGTTACTGGTCATTCGCAGCGTAGATATGTCTGAGAGCAATGAAACCCTATGGGGCATAAAGCAACGACCCAGCTAACACACCCAGCAACACAGAGTACAATGAGGACAAATTTCAAATGAATTTGTCACATCTACCCACAAACACACAGTTATCACTGGTGCGGAAAATTACTAAACTCATCAATAGAATATATTCTCCCATGAAGCAATAGGGATTCGAACCCAGGGCACTCAATTTGTAACCAGTGCGCTATACCACCGGATTATGGCGATAAACTGTCAGATAAAGTCAACAAATACATCACAATGTTTCCAGTACAACAAGGATGCGTGGGAAATATGATTGGCTCCCAGAGTCACGACTTCCCTGGACTAGTGGCCAAACACCTTCGGGAGAATACAAGCAGCAGGTAAAGGAGGTTTGAATAGGTTTAATTAGTATCATCACGACCAGACTCAAATACAGAGGCACTGCATTTCAAGAAAACGGAAGGTTGGTCCCGTCGTAGCTAACTAGCAGCGACCGCATACCACGAGTAATGAGGGAATTGAACTGATAACCTTGCATCATCTTGCAAGTCAGCGCCTCATATCGAGGGTTCTTAAATAAAGGTAACACCACACATTTTCGTAAGTCACATTGTCACCGCGCCTGGATCCGCACTGTTCGTCGAAAATGTGCATCTGCTGGTAAGTTCGGACCAAACAAATTGGTAACAAAAGTTGCACCAGGTCTACGATCAGACTTGATTGCAACCAGTTGACCTGAACCTCTCCAACCCGTTACCATCCCCTTAGTAACGAGCTACTATAGTCCGCATTTTGTCGCGGAGTCACTGGTGCCTCTGATTGTCTACCCTCGATACAGACCCTAGATCAGTCCAACCGACAGTTAAATTTTTGGTTCAATTTCTTTGAATTACCATTCCTATTATTATTGTTGCGATACTAATGAGAACAATGATACTTCAAGAGAAGTAAACCAAAAGTTAACTTATCACTTGGAATAATCAAAGACTTGAAGGGGGGGAACACAGAGGTACCAATGACTCCGTGACTACGCCCTATCCGACAACGTGTGTAACTACTGGTGTAGCTGCTTCCATCCAAGATGATGACACGCACAGATCGGGTCCAGCCAATCGGTGAATCACGTCATGCTACCTCACCAGTTCATTGGCTGTCCAAATGGAGAGTTTCATCCCACTAGACACACTGATGGGAAAGTTTACACGCCGGTGCAACCAACTTGCAGGTGCGTGGAGCATAGGACCGAGCTGACGAAAGTTATGCGAGTGTAGGAGCTACCCCAGTGACGCACCACTGGGTAAGCTATTAAGTGTCAAATGTCAAAATTCTATCAGATACGTGTAATATTTCGTATGAATCGGTGGACAAGCAAGGCCAGTCGCCTCTAATATCTTCAGCAAGCTGTGATCAGGACTCTGGACCATTCAGTAAAAGCTCGCGTTACACAATGTAGTAAATCGCCCTGTTAAACAAAAAACCCTCACATCCCACCATTCCCACGAATGACTGAGAATCGCAAAAACTGCATAAAGCTGCAGTGTATGTGGTAACCTTTTCGATGCCATCGACGTCAGAGACTATATAGCTAGGCAGATAAGGAAACTGGTGAATAACTTCGATAGTCATGTCATCTGCATATACTGGATTTGATATTCGACTGTCCGACAGTCCATAGCTCCCATGAGAAGTAGAAAAAGATGGCAGAGGTTCATTTGTGGTCATCTCAATGTCAAAACTGAAGAAAAGTGGAGAAACGGGCAGTTTCAACACTCGGAACTTGCCGCAGAGAACTCATGGGACAGTTTACGGCAAACCATTATACGGCCACAATACTCGTGGTATAGGGATGTTGGGATAGAGGTGTTTCACAGATTCATCCTTCGGAGAAAGGTAAGGCTACAATCAATTGCAATTAACCAAAGAAAAAGTGCTTTTCAAGTCAAGAAAGACTACCATAGTCGTCTATTTGCAACAATGATGACGTTCCACAATTTGTCCAGGGGAAAATATGAACAGTGCATCCCGTGCCAGTTTGCTTTTCACGGATACATTTCTACAGAGGATTAAGAAGTCGCTGAAACATCTGCAAGTCAGTGGTTTGGAGACTATAGAGATCAGACTGAGAGACTAGGATAATTTTCACAGGGCGGAATGACGGTGGACAACTACCATTTGGGAGGCACCTCCACAGTGAGCCAAATAGCTGCTGCTCTGTGTGCTAACCATGATTGATGTTATCAAATCGGAAGAATTCAGAGGGATAATCAGGAAAATCCAATTAACCAAAGATGACCCAGCCCTAGAACTGAGAACCATACTCAGACCGGGTTGTCCGCGGTTTCTGTCCTAGTGTCTCTGGATGCGTGTCACCAATGGCAACAGGTGGACTGGGAGTAGTTAGTTCAAAAGCCGTGTGAATATCAGTGATTCTGATTGAACGGCTCTTCTGAAGTACACGTAGTGTGATTGGATTGCGACGCGCAATTTCAATGTGGACCGCGATTCAGATTGAAGTGAACCTTGGTCACTGCGATCATTGGGACCGTAGCCGAAGCAGATGGAAATTGGGTGTTGCCCGCCCGAAAACACTGCACAACCACGACGCGTTTCGATATCATTTCATCGCATCAGGTGGAGAAAGCAGGCTTCGAACCCGCGACCATTGGAATAGCTGCCGAAACGACGCGCAATCTTAATGGGCACCGGGGTTTGCATTGAAGTGAACCTTGGCCAATTTAATCGCTGAGACCGTAGCTGAAGTAGATGGATGTTGCTCGCCTGCAAACACTGGAAAACACAATTTTCATCCTCGTCAGTGGTTCTGGTTTCGGACACGCAGCACACGTTGAAACTGCGTGTCCAATGTGCGTGGGCGTGCAGCCTGATAACCCAGCTGTCTTAGGGTGCGAACATTAAGCGCCGCCAGAGAAAGAGAACAGTGTGGCACGACAAGGGGTGGTTTATAGCTGAGATCCAAAAGTACCACAACTGCCATCAATTAAGGTGGGGATTGTAGAAGGAATGTTAGAAATAGGGTTGGGAAGGAAGTATAAGAAATAGCTAAGATATAAAAAAGAGGACATCAGCAGGAGCATATTTTCGCTTCTCCACCCTACTGTACAAAGCAGGTATCGGCCCGTAGCATAAAGGATCACAAGTCTGTCATGTAATCCGAGGGCACGGGTTCGAGCCTGCGTAGGTAACCGGGCGGCTCTCGCAGTATCCGTAGCCCAAGCGGGACTATTGGTAGCTGCACGGCAGCGAAGCGTCGGTACTGCGTACCGTCGTACTGCTGCTATTCGGTACACAGCAGATGAGATCACACATTTGAAACTGCGCGACGGCTATTGCAGAACGTGACTGGACACTGGTGGTAATCACGCTCATCCTGGTGAGTGAGCTGGAATTCTACCCGGATAACCATACTATGGTGATAGAACGATTAGAGTCCCCAAGCAATGTCTTTGGTTTAAGGCTTTACCACAAGGCAGCGAAAGAATGTTAATGACCAAATTTTGCACAAATGGATTAGATACCAGTTCCAACCTCCGAACTGGAAAACGAAGAGACTGAGTTCAGCGGGCCTCTAACGATTAATCAAGCTGGTAGGAGTCGTCCTAAAGGAACCCGAAGGTACTACCTAGTACGGTTCGGTGGGTCGAAGAGTTACATAAATTGTTACACCACAGCTGGGTTCAATCTCGTCGGGAGGGTACCTATGCGGTCCGCTTCCGATAGGACACCTGTTTCGTCTGTGGATTCTTACCTATTCACTTCCATGGGAAACCCTGGTCACACATTAGGGTTTAGAAAGACCCAGTTAACAGCTTGGTGCGATGCTGGTTTTGATGTGGGAAACAATATTGTGTTTTTAATGGACACACAAGAACTAATAGCTACATTACATAATGAACCTGTGACCCTAATCCTAGAAATAAAGGTAGAAGCAATGGCTAATGTTCCGAAGTATTGATTAGTGCTTAGGTGCAAACGCAGATGTATTTCTCTCGGGTACGGGCTTCTTATTGGCACGTGAAACTTGGTAAAGACGTGGATTTAGGGATCCACGCTTTCACTGTTGAAGATGAATTTCTCCAGAAGCATTACAGCAAGCTACAAGTGATTGAGGCAAAAGTAGCGAGAGCCAAGGAATACGAGAATGAGTCGATATGTCGGACATTTATTTTCTACTGCCGCACTATAACGGGAGAATAAAGCAACGCACACGGACATGCACTGACCAGAGAGGTGTATAGAGACGAATGCAGGTTGACGTTCGCTGTCTACTGGACACCACACGTACCGACCCATTTCAAGCCACTCACCTCATTCTCGCGACGCTCTGTTGCTGCGTATTGAACCGACGTGAGTTTACGCATTGGGTTCCGAAGTCCTCCAAGCAGCGAATCGCTTCCCGCCTCCTCCGATTCAGCCTCAGTGAACTGGAAAGTGATAAATTTTACATGGGAGATCGTACAATAGAAAATGGACCGACACTAAATCGAAATTGACAACACAGTTAGCCTGCCATTTTTCGTAAGTTGATTAAAACACACATGACTTTGGCATAACTAATTGCAAACTGACAGAAGATGTCGTGGCCACCAGCTGGACAAGAAATTCCTGATGCAGCCGTTTTTTGTGTAACCTTATAAACCGGCACTGTATATTCGGTGCTGTCTTAACAAAATCTCAAGTTATTGCATTTATTGCTTAAGTTGGTACGGTCGAACTTGCGATTGGATTGTCATGCCCAATCTCAATATTAGTGTTAAGCGAGCCCACTTCCCTGCTGGGCCATTAAATCGGCCGCTACCTTTTTTGTCCGACCTCATTCTTTTACATTATCTACTCCATATATCTCAGTCTTGCAAGCACAAGCTGACAGATATTGTGTTCAATGAACTTCCAAGTTCACGGAGACCCTCTACTCCATCCATCATTGAATATAAAAGCGAGATCTCGTGCAGGATCCCCTATCTACTGATTTTGAACAGTACATCTTGCGTCAATTGAAAGGATTTCTGAATAAAACTTTTAATGAAAGCTTTTCCGTTCTGGACGGAAACAAACACCGAACAGTTAGTTCGGTTTTCTGGGATCGTTTCTCGATGGATATATGATAAGACAACCTCCTCATTTTTCTAATCATTTGTAAACAGCATTTTTATGGTAACTCTATAGTAAATTTGCAGCCAATAATGAAAAATACTGAAAATTCCCCCATTTAGGTAAATAAAGCTAATACTGACTTGATTTGAACTTATAGAGCCACTGCTTTCGCTAGCAGCTCGGAGATTTCACCGGATGCATCTTGAAGCCAACTACCAAACCAGTGAGAGACTACCGATGAGGGCATGTAACCTTGAAGTATACCAGTATGACCGTAGCAAAGAGACTGGATCTTAACGTGGTGCGGCGGTTTGCGTACCTCGTCGACCCATTACGCTATACTGGGTGATGCCTCCGGTCACCTTGAGAGCTACTCCTACCAGGTTGGTCAATGGATAGAGGTCAAACAAACTTAGTCTTCTGGTCCTCGAGGTTAGGGGTTTGAAATGGGATGGCGTCCATTTCTTTAAAACTAACTACTCGCCACCTCCCCGCTGCCTTGCGGACAGGCTTTTGAGCCAAAGGCTTTGGATGAGAACCCTAGTCGTCCTCCTGTCTAGGTCTGGGTGCCCTGGTGATATCCCAGCCCACATACAACCACGACTTTTTCTTCCAACTTAAACTTCATCCTGCATCGGCCGTCGAGCAAATTATCAAGGGTCGCCTTATCTGCTGCATACAGCAGGGCGGATAAGCGAAAACATGCTGGTGCTGGCGCCTCCCTACTTTCTTTTCCACCTCTTTCTCTTACTCCCATTCCAACCCCCATTAATAATCTTCCTTTTATAGTTCCCAGCCTTATTGACAGCAACCGAAGTGCCCCTGAAGAAACATCTACAACCACCTTCTCGCGACACCCACCGGACACCTATCGGCAACAGTCCCTTATAAGGCGACGCTTTTCCGTTTTCCTGGCGACGTATAAACGTTCGCACTCTAAGACAAATAGGTCGACAGGCTGCATTCGCACGCACCTTGGACACACTGGGCATTGATGTGTGTTGTGTGTCCGAAACTAGGATCAATGACCCTAAAGGGGTTATCGAATCAACTGCACCCGGCTTATCTTCTCGTTATTGGTTGCACGCATCCGGAGACGCCGATGCAGCACTCACGGGTCAAGCTGGTGTAGGTATCATTCTAAACTCTAAGGCTGAGCCATCGTTGGTTGATTGGATTCCAGTGAACAGCCGTTTATGTGCAGTTTATTTGACGACATCAGCTAAGATTGATTCACGAAGTATCACAAAACGCTGTTTGTTTGCGCTTTGCTCGTATGTTCCTACCGACTGCAGTTCTAATTCTGTCAAGGACACATTCAATTACGAACTGAACGCGCCATTACGCAGTGCTACTAATTCAGATATCATAATATTTACAGGGGATATGAACGCACAAGTAGGGCGTCTGAGCTCTTCAGAAGCTAAGCTGGGCGGTAAGTATAGTCTTAACTTTGGACGAAGTGAAAATGGCAAGCGTCTGCTGCAAATGTGTGCGGGGCATCAGTTGTTTATTAGTAGTACTGCTTTTAGACCCAGTGGGCGCCGAAGTGCGACTTGGTGTCCCCCTATGGCTGGTAAGCGATGCACCCAGATTGATCACATTGCCATACTTTACAGATGGTGTGGTTCCATCCTAGATTGACACTCGTTCTGGAATACCTGCGTCGACTCTGATCATGCCTTGATAGGTCGTCGTTTCTCCATGAACTTTACTAGGAGGCGCCCCAAGCGTCTCACCCGATTAACAACTGAGAAATAGTCTCAGCCATCGGTTAGGAAAGCCTAGCAAGAAGCACTGTATACCGAATTTTCGCTGTCTTGTTCTAATGACACTGAGCTTCAGTGTAATAGGATCTCGGCCGTCATGCACGACGCAGGAGCATCTGCTTGTGGCATTAGCAATCGTCATCGCACCAGTCACTGGATATCCGAGAGGTCGGTGAACCTGTTGGAATCGAGAAGAAACTTCCCGGCTGCCTTTGAGAACAATGTGATCAGATGGGCTATTAGACGCGAAGTAAAGCGGAGCTTACATGCTGATATGGAAGCCTGGTGGACTAGTCGGGATCAAGAAATGGTGGAGGCAGGAGCAATAAGCATGTACCGCAAGCTCTACCAGCTGCTCCGCACCACTGGTCTCAGGAAACCAGGCGTCAGTAAGACAATCAGAGACACCGCATGTGCACTGATACACAATAAGCAGCGCCGTATGGCTCGTTAGGCAGAACGCTTACAAGATCAGTTCAGCTGGTCCCCTGCTCCCGGACCTCTTTCTACTCAGGTGATGCATGACGAGCCATTGACGGATAGTTTAGAGCCTCCGTCGGAGGCTGAGGTCCGAAACGCGATCATGGCCCTTAATCGTTTTCGTGCCGCTGGCCCGGATTCCTTCCCACCTGCACTATTTAAGGATGGAGGTGAGGTCTTCTGCAAAGCACTGAGGTCCTTATTCGAATGTAGCTGGAAGGAAGGGTGTCCCGGCTAATTGGAGCGAATCGATTATGGTGGCAATATACAAGAAGGGCAGTCGCACAGACTGTTCTAACCACATGTGTTTTAGTCCAACGCCAGTTGTGACAAACTTACAGGCCTTCAGTCTCGTTCGTCTCCTCATTGGGGAACGGGAATCTCGGATTAGGGAAGAGCAGCCCGGTTTCCGTCCAGTGTGTGGCTGTAGAGACCATATATTCGTTTTGCGACATGTGCTAAAGCAGCGCCACGCAAACCGCAGGCCGACAATAGCTGTGTTCCTCGATTTCAAGACTGCGTTCGATTCAGTCGATCGATTGATTCTGTACGAAATACTTGCGCGGAAAGGTGTTCTCACGAAATATGTGAAGATCCTACGTGATCTATACTCGAACACTACAGGCCGCGTCAGGGTCTACGGTGTCCTATAGGACAGCTTTCCGACCACAAGTGGCGTTCGTCAGGATTGTTCGAATCCCCCATTTTTGTTCGATTTCGTCGTGGATCCCATCATGGAGTGTTCCCTTGCGGAATCTCACGATGTAGGTGTTGACGTGCTGCCTGATTAGTTTACCTTAATTATGTGGGCAATATCGTCTTGCCTTACGACAATGTTGCGGCGGCACAATCAACCCTGATATGCCTGTCTAGTGTGGTCCAATTATTTGGCATGCGTTTCGCATTTTCAAAGTGCCAACTGTCGCTGCAGGACCACTAGCCATTTTATGACCCCTTGACCCTGGCTAACGAGGAACTCGAGGTGGTTGATCAATTTACTTGGCTTAGCAGCTGCATCAGCAACGATATGCGCACAGAAACTGACGCCAGCTCACGCATTGCAAACTCCAGAGCTGCCTTCTTACACCAGCGGCATCTTTGGCGACAGAAAAGGTTTTCCCTCCGTCTGAAAGGCCTTGTATACAAGGCCACAGTGAGGGCCGTTCTGATGTATGCTAGTGAGACTTGGCCCCTACGGTCTGAAGATCTGAGGCGCCTTCAAGTCTTTGATCATTGTTGTCTGCGAAGTATTGCGTGTGTTGCATGGCACCACCGTGTCCGCAACGATGATGTGCGTAGGCGAGTACTAGCTAGTGATAATCATGCTAGCTCCCTAGGACAACAGATAGCACGGAATAAGTTGCGTTGGCGGGCACGTGCTTACCTAGGAGTGCCTTATTTAGTCTGCCACATGTAGGGTAGCCCAAGACCCGAGGTGGGCAAAAAATAACTTGAGAGCGGGAAGTGAAGTCACTGACGACCAAACTGGGTGCCGTTGGTCCGTCTCGCCTTCCGGGCTGGAGTCCACGTGGCTCGCCTTGTGCTTGGCTCGCGACTTTAAAGGACATGGCTCAATGTAGACACCAGTGGCGCGTCTGCTGCCGTCTTCTAGTCGAATTGCCTGTTTAAAGTGTATTTGGTGCTGAGTTATCTGCGGGGTAATGGCTGATTATGACGCGAGGCAGAGAAAGCCGCAAGGAAACTGTCTCGCCGATGCCGTCTTATATTAACACGATAGCCAGCTGTTTGTGACGTTATGTTGTCTACACAACGTGTAGGCGCCTTGACCCTGAATGTTTGCTTAGGGCATTAAGGATCTCAGGTAAGTCCCCCTTCCCCCTCTTCCTATTCTTTATTTCATAGGTCAACATGGTCATATGGCAGCGAAGCATCAGTTCGAATGGCTGATGTACTGCTGTTGATGATAAGGATGATGATGTCAGTGGGAATGATATGTTTTGAAGCGCGCCAATAAACGAACCATTTAAGCAGCCAACAGGCACAATTTTAGGTATCTAGTAATTGCTGAAACGCAGGACTTTCAGTTAGGTCATTCTCTCATGAACTGTAAGATTGACCCTCTCTGTGGCTGCATATCCAATTTTTGGGTGCTCAAAAAGTTCTACCAAATGCCTTTGCCTTCTGATGGGGGAAATCGGTCCTTTCAAATTGCGTGGTAGCAGTAAGTCACCTTCATGGTCAGTGGAAACTACAGCAGTTGGTGACGATCATATATATATATATATATATATATATATATATATATATATATACACACTTTAGGCTGCAGCGCAAGCTTGATGATAGCAGAAGACGCCTTTCAGTAGACACTTGCACTGGCGTGCACAGAGTCCCAAGTTGCGGTCCGAACTTCGGATATCTCTGGCCCAAATGATCTAACCCGAGGATATAGCGTCTGTAAAGTGCACATTATGAGAAACGTAAACCTGACATGTGGCATTTTGTATTTGGTGCCGAATCGGTGACAACGCTTTGCCACACCGGGAAGTGAAGTTAATTGTGAGTCTAGCGCGACAATCATTCAAGACAATGTGAAGGCTTTCTGACAGTACCCTCCTCATCGGTTGCGGTTTGGCTACTAGAGCAGGGTCAATAAAGAACTACCTTTCTATAATGGTCCATCAATTGGCACACGCTTCGCGCCTTCAAAGTGCAAAGTGCGGTTGAAGAACCACCGGCCATTTGATGACCGCTTGAGCCTTTACGCGGAGGAACTCAAGGTAGCTAATCACATCACCTAATTGGCAGCTGCATAACAACTAAGTCAAGTTACGCATTGCAAAAGCTAGAACAGTTTTTCTGAATCTGCAACATCTGTGGTGTCCGAAAGCGGTTTTCCTCGGTCTGGAAGACCCTGTTTACAAGGCCACTTTGAGGGTCGTCCTACTCTATGGGAGTGAAACTTGGCCGCTTCGATCTGAGGCGCTTTCAAGTCTTGTATCATCGTTGTCTGCGAAGCACTGCTGTTGTGTTCGCTACGATGATATGCGTAAGCGAGTACTAGACAGTGATAACCAAGTTAGTTCCTTAGAGCCACATATGGCATTGAGTAAGTTGGGTCGGCTTGCACACGTACTAGTTACGTCCGGTCACCATTTACTGAGGAGGGCCTTGTTTGGTATGCCAGATGTAGTGTAGCCCAATACCCGAGGTGGGCAAAATATAATTGGGCAACGGTAAATGAAGTCACTGACGACCCAAATCGGTGCCCCCAGTCCGTATCGCGTACTAGGCTAGAGTCCAAGTGACCCATCTTATTCTTGGCTTGCGACGTTACAGGACATGGCTCCCAGTCGACACCAGTTGCACGTTTGCTGGCATCTCCTAGTCGTATTGTCTGTTTAAAGTGAGTTTGGTGCTAAATTACCTGAGGGTATTGGCTGATTATGACGTGAGGCAGTGAAAGCCGCAAGGGAGTTATCTTGCTGATGCCGCATTATCATTATGAGATAGCTAGTTGTTTTTGATGGTATGAGGTTAACAAGAGGTATGCGCCTTGACACTACGTGTTTACGGAGGGCGTTCAGGCTTTACGCTAGGTCCCATCCGCATATTCGTTTCGTAGATTGTTGTGTTTGTACAGCTACGAAGCATCAGATCAAGTGGCTGATGTACTACCGTTGATGCGGATGATGCTGACGTTACTGATGATGACGATGGTGACGAAGAGGAGGAGGAGGAGGATGACGATGATGAGGAGGATGATGATGATGATGACGATGACGATGATGTTGCAGTATCGCAAGTTATGCCTTGCCGGGGTATTGGCTTTATTGCCCCAACTTTTCTACTGCTTATTTTGTTGGCCAATTCGGTGAGAAGATGGTGAGTACGACATCTCCGACAGATGAATTGAACAGCAATACTAGCATTTTGTGCTCCGTAGGCTCAAGTAAAGCGCGAACGACCAATTAGTCGCTGGCGCCGGAAAGAATGAGGCAAACCGCAGTAAAGTGCAACTAAACGGAGCGGCAGCTGAAGCAGGACCAGAGGTGCATTATTATTGATCAAGGGGGAACGATCCCACTGGTCAACTGTAATATGGAAATGGTCCTGTGTTTATCGCCTCACAAATGGGGTTATTTCCATATTAGTTCTGTCGGTACATCAGTACAGTTAAGAGACTAACTGGAAAACAAACAGTAACGTGCTACAGGGAATTGGAACACATGTCAGAGAATAGCGGATGCTCTTCATGAAGTAAGGGATGCGGTGAAGCACACAATATGTATTCAGAAGTAGCCCAACACACTTGTGGCAATTACGGAAACTCACTGTGTGTACTTCATCCTCGTCTGGTGGTGTGGGAGATTCGATACCGGTGTCGGCTACAATGATCTGTAGAGGTTCTCCATCCTCACCAAGACGTGAGCTTGAGCGGAGCGGTGGAGTAGGTCTCACTTCTGGACGTTCCAAGCGAAAATGTGACTTGTGGATGTCACGTTCTTGTCGTTCCACTGCTCTCTGCAACAGTGGAGTTGGCATGAGGACAAAGGTTGCGTCCAGTGTGTAAGAAACACGAAGTGACCATATTATGATGGGATAAAAGCAGGTACTACTGCGCCATGAGTCAGTAGTACCGATAAACCCAAAAGGTAAGGAGGCAACAGCGGACCATAACAACAGACCATGGGTTCTTGCAACATGAACCTTCAAGCATCACCACAATACAAAGTGGAATACAAATTACTCCCAGAAAGGGATTTGGAAAGTGAATTAAGGTTGTTATGTAGTAAGTAAAAGGAGAAAGGTTGATGCTTTTCAGAGGTGTATAGTCAAAACTATCCTCAGACAAACTGCTTCTGCATATGCGGAAAAGGACTGAATGGCCATTACATCCTTTCGGTACTTGTCGATAGCGCATATGCCGTCCGCCTGACAGAGAGCCAGAACTTGAGTCCTTACTCTCTGTCAAGTCAGTGGTTGAGACCACTGGAGCAGGAATTCCGGCTTCGGTCGCTGTGGTCAGGCAACTAGTTATCATATGGCGCGGCAATGACATTATCGATGATCGGAGGATAGGATTGGTTCCTGCGGAAGACACAATTTCATTTACTGGATATCAACTCGGCTGGCTGATCGAACAATCTCGCGTCGTATCAGCTGGTTGGTACTGGTTAATCTCTTTTTAACAAGTGATTCGGGGACAGTGTTCCCTGACGTAGTGGGTTTTCGCCTAGTAAACGTTATCCTCATAAAAGGCCACAAATACCTGTTTAACAACACTGCGACGTGGTGGATATGACTCACCACTAAGTAAAGTTACGGTTCCTTTCTATCAGGGTAATCCTACTCACCCTTCTGATGTAAGGCATTACATTTAGTATTAGTTATTTGCTTCTAATGGTCCCCACTTCGCTGACGATCAGATCGAACCCAAGCTCAAGTGCAGCGTTAAGTTTACAAGTTATTGAATCATAGGTACATGCACACACACACGCACACACACACACACACACACACAAAAGCTAGTATGTTAGTAGT